TTTCATTCTGTTGGACATATGGTTGCGATGAGTCAGAGATGACTCTACAGCACCTAACAACAATCAAGATTTTTTGAGAAAGAATGCATGTGCAGGAGAAATTGGAAGGAGAGCAGGAAGGATTGGGCAATAACAAACTATTCTAGGTGTGAAAGTGAAGGAGGTCATGAAGGAGGACACAGAACTTAAGAAAAGCCAAACAGAATCTGGGGAAGAGGTACAATGGTGAAACCAATTATTTTTGCTAAAGAAATAGTTTGTGAAGAAGTATAAGCCATAAAAATTCTGGTTGTGATGTTCATACCATAAAAGAAAGTGACTACTAGGATATCCATAGTTAATGAAAAAATCTCAAGTTAGAGAGAGGCAAAGTTTATATTCTGGCAGCATGCACAGTTTCCCAGACTCAAAAAAAGGCAGGTGAGAAGGCTCCAAGATTTAGATAAGTCTAAAATGGTGCAGGGTAAGGAAATACCTGTTTTATTAGGCAGTTCTTTTATAACCAGGAATGTACTAGGTACTGCGACAGAGGAATTGAAGAAGCAGACATCAGTGAAGATGGGGGAACCAAGGAAGAAGGTTGTTTGGAGTTGAGAACAGTAGATAAGGATTTGCTAAGTGAGAAGCGATCATAGAGACATTCTAGGAGAAGAATACCTATGGAGATGGGGCAGTGAGTTTGGTCTGACTGATGAAGAGAGAATCCTGGATACATGCCCCCTTGCTGTTGTTGTTAAGGGCTGTTGAGTGGGTTCTGGTTCATAGTGATCCTATATAAGATTTCTGAGCAACAGCTGGTGGGTTTGAACTACTCTGTGGTTAGCAGTCCAATGTTGATCCTACAGGGCCACACCAGGACCCCCTTATTAACATATATTTTGGTGTACTCCTGAACTCTCTCCATCTTCTTCTTAAGGGCAAGGACCATGCTATCTTTTTAATTCAGCTTTGTGTCTCCATCATATATTGTGATGTTTAACAACTAAAAGGAGCTCAAAAAAAAAAAAGCTGAAATGCAAGAGTTTAAGCTTAATATAGAGGGCAAAAAGGAAACTTAAAAGTTTTTGCGTTCACATTTACTTACATTTGAGTAGATTATGATGATGGATATGACTGACTAGTAGTATTATTCATGATGAATATGCCTTAATATTGTTGTGAAAATTATTTCTTATTTATTTAATACCAATGAGGGTAACATGGTGTGGCAATGTGAGATAATGCACTGGACTGCAAAGTCGGCAGTTCAAACCCACCAGCCGCTCCTCAGAAACACTATACAGGGTTGGAACAGACATGAAGGCACTTAATAACAACTAGATGCTCTGGTAGTGTAGTGGTTCTGAGTTGGGCTGCTAACCTCAAGATCAGCAGTTGGAAACTACCATTGCTTCTGTGGGAGAAAGATGAAGCTTTGTGTTCCCATAAAGATTTGCAGGCTTGCAAACCCAAACTCAGGGTCACTGAGTTGTAACTGACTCCACAGCATACCACCACTAACTAAGAGGGTAACACCCTCGTGATCAAATTAGGCTAAGGTAAGTCTCGCTCTCTAAAAGTTCCACTGACTTGAGATTTGAAAAGATTTTTTTTTTTTTTTAATGTGATGAAAAATCAGGGGATAGAAAATGGGAGTAGAATGGGGACACAAAAAGTAAAACGAGAAGACACCCGGACTTACAGGTTTCTGTCCTCTAATGCCTTTAAAGATAATTGTTGTTAAGTGCCATTGAGTTGGTTTGGATTAATAGTGACCCTGTATAGGGTTTCTGAGGAGCAGTTGGTGAGTTTGAATCACCAACCTTGCGATTTAAACAGACCTTGTACTCAAGTGCATTATCCTGCAGCCCTACAGCTACATCAGGATACCTGGGCCTCCCTTACTTAGCATTTAACCATGAGATAAATAAGCAAGCTGAAAAGGGAGAAGAATTTGCTAAGAATAAGATGTAAATAATTGGAATTTCACAACTTTCACACAGTTGCTAGGTACAGTTCTAGTATGTTAGGCCAGAACTTGGAGACTCTAGGCTCTCAGGCCTCTCTTGTTCTCGCCTGGCCTCCTTTTTCCCACCTTCAAAAAATGTGTAAGAAGCACAGGTTTCTCTATGCAGCCAGTGGAGAAATTCTCAATTGAACTGTAGAGAAAAGAATTCTAGGAATAGGCAAGTCTCCACCAGCCCTTAAAAATAGTTCTACGAAAAGGAGCAAACACAGGCTGCCGTCATCTCACAACGTTGGCCTCAGAGACTCAGACACTAACCCCAAAGACTGTGGGGGTAGGCTTTCAGCAGCCCACTCACTCCAAACGCATCCCAACTTTCACTTCCAACTTCTTTCTCAGAAAGTCAAGATTTCAGGAGATGAATCTGTTGTCTAACCAGAAAGGGAAGGTTTCGAGATGCTTCCATTGCACAGGAAGGGAATTAGATCCAAGCCTCCGACTTCCTGTATTTTTCTACTGTAGTGCTGGGACCCTAGTGTCCAAGCTCTTAAGATTCCCAAGGCGCTCCCTTGGGCCTTGGGGCAGGATTCCCATTCTCGGCCTCTCCATCTCCCTGGAATTTTCCACTGCAGCTGCCTCCACTCCCAGACACCCCTCCCCGGGCAAAATTCCCGTTCCTTCCGCCTCCCCCCTTTTTTCTGATCACACCTCTTTCCCACCCCTCCACCCCCACCTCCCCGTCCTAAGACCCAGCCCACAGTCCGGCCCACACCCAAAACTAACCCTAGTGGTACCAGTTAGAGGACTGGGAGGCCAGGACCCTTATAAAAGGATGGGAGGGAGGATCCCTGGCTCTTTTTTGGGAGGAGAGTAGGGACACTGGAGGGGTTGGTTCCCCGTGAGGCTGGAGTGGGGGGAGTGGCCCTCCTCACATCCCCATATAAGGCAGGGCAAGAAGTTATGCTCCTTGATTGGATGATTCAAATGAGCATTCCACCTGGCAACAGAGTTTCTATTGGCTCTCAGGAAAAATAGGAGGAAGGTGGATGGAGGTTGTTGGTGGCGGTGATTGGAAAGGGGAGGGAAGTGGAGGTGACCGGAGTGGGGGGCGGTTACCAGGGCAACGGGGTAAGAGCCCAGCAGGGTGTCTGAGACTGCAGGCGGGGCTGGGAGGTGGAGGAGAGAAGAGGAAAGGAGGGCGGGAGGGAGAGGAAAGAGACTGTCTCGGAGGGAGAGAGATATGGAGACTATGGGAGGGGGGAAAGCGAACGAGGGAGGAGGAGAGAAATGAAGCAGAAAAGAAGAGTAGAGATGGAGACTGAGAGATAACTAAAGACATCGGCGAGTGAATCAGAGATTGAAGAGAAAAATGGAAAGACTGGGGGTGGGGGAACGGGGTGGGATGGAGGGAGAGGCCAGAATAGGTCAAAGAACAAGCCGAGTGGGGTAAAAAGATTTTTTAGAAGACTTAGAAAGAGAAACTGATAGAAGAGTCATAAAAAGAAACTGGGAGGTGTGTACACCAAGGGCCAAAAGGTGGTGTATTTAAGCACACAAATATTAAATGATGGTGATTAATCAGCGTGTTTTTAAAAAGTAATTTTCAAATGCTAAAAGAAAAAAAGTGATGAGTGATGATGACAAATGTGAGGGGCACGCATACCTAAGATTATCTTTTTCCAAACCCCAGTCTCCCACTTCATCCACCTTTCTTACCTATAATAAACATCTTAGCCTCTGTCCCTTCTTAAAATGACTCCTTGAAGACTTAAGATTGAGAACAAGGAACTAAGGATGTGTGGAATAGGGTGGGGTTAGAACTACAGACTTGGACCTCTTGCAAAGGAGGCAAAAATAATACAGAAAAACTGGAGAAGATGGCAGCAGAGGAAAGGAAAATGCAAAGGGAGGGTAAATGTGAAAAATGAGAACAGGAAAAGGAGTCTGAGGGAAATCAGCTAAGAATATAGAGCCAGGTAAGACAAGATAAGACAGGAACATTGTTGCCTGGGAGAGAGAGCGAAAGAGATCAAAGGTGAAATGATAGAAGAAGGTAAATAAGAAGTAGAAGGAGGTGATAAAAGAGTGAGAGATGTGATGTAATGATTGTGGGGGACCGCGCGTTCTGGTGCAAAAAGATAAAAGTGGGATGAAGAGAAATTAGACCTAGCAAAGAAGAGTGAGGTGAGATAGGTGAATAAGAAAGGTCGGAGAAGAGTCCTGGTGTGGAGTTGTGGGATAATGCACTGGATCGTAAGGTCGGTTTGAACCGCCAAGTCGGATTCAGCAGCCACTCCTCAGAAATTCTATACACGGTGGCTATGAGTCGGAACCGAATCGATGGCACTTCAACAAAGGTCAAGTTAGGGAGACTGGAGGACCTCTGACTCTTCTGATCACAAGAAGGAGCTAGCAGAGAGAAATCCAGCAGGGTTCACAAATGTCTGTTTTGGCCAGTAGGGAAGGGTGGACTGCCCTTTTTGCTTTTCCATCATCTCTTAAGGCCAAGACAATGTAGATAGAGGATGGGGGGAAATCCAGCGTGCTCTGAAAGTAGCTATCCTACCCTTCTCCTCTTTCAGCTTTTGGATTTTCAGATACCTGGCCCTGCATTTCCATCTGCTCCCCTCCACCCTGCTCAATCCCTTGGCAAAATTTCAGGACTCTTTTGGGGTCAGTAGAATTCTGACCACCCCTCCAGTCTGCCCCCAAAAAGACAGACTCCACTTTCGTAGGCAGTAGGTCGGGATTCGGCGAGATCCCTCCCAGTAGGAACCCCACCCCTTCCCACCTCCTCGCCCCACTCCGGTTCTCCGCGGCCGTCAGTCTCTCCATTTCCCCCTCCTTGTTTCGTCCTCCCTCCCGCCTCTCTAGCTCTCCCTCCCCTAGCTTTCATCCTCCTATCCCCACCTCTCCAACCTCCTCTTTCATCCCCCTCCCCTCTCTTCTCCTCCCCGCTCCCGCCTGCCCCACCCCTGGGAAGCCCCTCCCGTCGGGCAGCGCCGCCTTATAAGCGGGTTCCCTTCTCGGGGGCGGCAGCGGCTGGTCGGCGGCAGCTCTCTCGGTGCGGGGGTGGCGATTCGTGGACCGAGCGACCACGGCCAGAGCGCGCCGGCCACCGCCTGCACAGCCCTTCCGCTTGCCCTCCGGACGGCCGCAGCCCTGCGGGTCTCCGCTCCAGACCCACCCCCGCCCCACCCCGCGCGCCTCTGCCGCCTCTTCCAGAGATCCAGCTTGCTGAGCGGCCGTCGCTGCCACTGTCGCCGTCGCCGCTGCCACCGCGCTAGATTCCAGCCGCGGCCACTCTCTGCCGTCCAGGGCCCCTCTGTCCCGGTCCCGGGACTCCGGCTCCCCGCCAGCCCCGGCCCCGGCCCCGGCACCATGTCCGAGAAGAGCGTGGAGGCAGCGGCCGAGTTAAGCGCCAAGGTAGGGGCGGGGGTGGCGGAGGCGGCAGCTGGAACCCCGCGCGGCCCTAAGGTTCGGGCGACCCTCAGTCCTACATATGTTCCCGACGGCCCTGTGCGGCCCTAGCACCCGGGTCCCGGCGGACCCCATGCCGCCCTGCCCCCCCGCCCCCTCCCCCCGCGCCCCATCCTGGCTGCCTACCCGGCTCCGCTCGTCTCCCGCCAGCGCCCTCTAGCTTCCCTGCGCGCTGCGCCGTGGCTTCTGGCCCCGCCGCTCGTGTCTGCGCTCGGCCCTGCCGCGGTCGTCACCTCTCGCTGTCTCCTAATTCGTCCGGGCTCCTATCGGAGCTCTTCGAGTCTCACTTCACCGTGTCCTCTCCCCCGTCTTTCCTCCAGTGCCCCGTTTCCCAGTCTCTCCTTCCAATCTGACCTCACCTTTTCTCCTAAGTGGGTTGAGATCCTCAAGTGTAAACAGGACTCTCTCGGGAGGCGACTCCTCGGCCCCTCCCTGGCCACCCGACTGTCTCTTGCTTTTCTCTTCTGACAGCTGCTGCCTCTCCCTTTTTCTTTCCTTCTCCTCCATTGGTCTTAGGCGTTTCTGGTGGTTTTTTTCTTTACTTTCCTCCCATCGACACCCCCCTCTTCCCCGCCACACACACTTAAAAGATTCTCAAATTCCTAAAAATTAGAAGCGGGGCGGGAATCGCCTTTGAAAGAGCTGAAGCTGGCTGAGCATTGCATTAAACTGTGCTTGCCCACATTAGCTTCCTGCCTGGCCCATCCTTTTGCCCTTGCCTCTCTTCTAGCCTTCCTCTAATTTCCCTAGGGAACCTGCCGAGTGCTGCTTTGGGAAATAAATACAGCCAGGGTTTGGGGTCTGGGAGCCTGACCTTGGTGATGATGGGTGGGTGGCTGAGTAGCTGGCACACACACCTTCCAGAGGCCTGCAAGTGAAACATAAAGCTTATGGGATTCAAGGCAGTGGAAGAGGGACTATGTGTCAGATTTGACAAGGTGTGCCTGTGTGGCCCTCCAGCAGGCTGTGTGGTGGCATGTGACTTTACTGAGTAGGTGTCTTTGTATGTCTGAAATCCAGCAGTGTGTGGGACTGCCCGTGTCAGTTACATGTGTGCATGTGGAGAGGTAGATATTCTAGAGCCATGTTGCTGCTTTGTGAGTGTGAAGTGACTCCACTGTGCTCTTGTGTTGTCTGGAGAGCTTGCCAGAATGCCCAAACCCCTGGGCCATGTGTCTCCGGATAGCGTGGGTGCTCTTCTGTAGCTCTATGTGTGAATCAATGTCAGTTTGTCTCAGCATGTGTGCCTGTGCTGAGTAAATGAGGCCAGAGAAATGCTTAGTGCAAAACCTAGGGCCTAGGTCACATACCCTCCTGGAAAAGGGATCATGGAAGGACAGTGACCAGAACAGAAGGACAGGACAGGGGAGGAGAGGGCCCGGCCCCCTGGACTTTGGTCTGTGGGTTCTCCCTCTCTCCTTTGTACTCGCCCTCCCTCCATCAGCCCAGATGGGAAATTTAGGCCATGGCCATAGACTTGGGACAAGAGTCCCGGAGAGGTGCTGACTAATACCTGGGTCTCCTGGCCCAAATTTTAGGGGGAAACTTACCAGATAGTAACAACTACCATACCAACTCTATGGCAAACAAATGAGGATGGCCAAATAGAATGAAGAAGAAGCCTAGCTAGAGTAAGAGAATGAACTGTTCTGTGCTCTACTTAAAAGGGAAATGAGGGTCCCCCGGACTAGCCATTTTACACTAACCCCTCTTTTATCCTCAATATTATTCCAGAAAGGACACACCCTCCTAAGGTGATCTACTCACACAGAAAACTTCCATCCACATGGAATCATATAGAGTTGCACAGAAAAACCAGACCAGATCACATAGGAACACCCACAGTATCACTCAGTGTTTGCCAAGAGGTGTGGAGTAAGGATAGGCCTGGAAGCTGAATTGGAAAGCTAGGTGTAGTGTCCAAAGGGGAATCTCACTGGAGCATTTATCTCTGCCACATCAGACTAGGATATCAAGGGTATACCTGCTGGGATCTCGGGGTGAAGGAAACTGGTAAGTGTGGGAGGATACTCTAGACAGTACCTTGCCTCCTCTACATTATCTGCCCTTGTTTTGTCTCTTCATCTACCAAGTCTGATACTCTTTTATTTGCCTCCTACTTTTATTCTGTATTTCCTGGAATGGCTTGGAAATGGCTTCATCTATTCTTCCAACATACAAACACACTACAAGGTGTAGAGGGGAGGAAATGACTGGATCTCGTGTAAACTGTTTTGGAGTAGTGTTAGGAGAAAGTGTGTATATAGGGGAAGGGTGCCGGGAATCATTCTGGGGAGTGCTCTCCCTCTTCCTGTAGTGTAGGAGCCTAAGGATTAGGAAGACACAGAAACAAAGGCAAGAGAAGCTGGAGGGAGAGCTGGGAGAGATGCCCAGGAGAGAGAGTACTCAGGAAAAGGCCCCAGAGGTAGACAAAAGGCAGAGCAGGGCCGGGCAGTGGGAGGGGGCAGGCAAAGGAGGCGGAGGGACACAGAGAGGGGGGTGGGGCACCGAAGGTTGCAAGCAGATGGATGGGATTTGCTTTGCTGAGCTGAACTCTTGCCTGTGAGGTTTGGAAGAACTTGATGGGGGTGGGGATCAGTTACCTTGGTGCCTGCTTCCTTTTGCTTCAACACTTTATCTACCCCACAGAATCTTAGGGAAAAGAGGTCTATGGGTTTTAGCCCCTTAAAGTGCTGGCCATAGTGTAAGGACCCTATGTACCATCTCTAAGCTCTGGCCGCCTCCTTTTTACACTCTTCCAAGCTCACTGCATAGAAGGAAAATGGGGCTAGAGAGACTTAACTGCAGGTCACTGTGGCAGGACAAAGTTGACCTCTTTCTTCCTTGCAGGACCTGAAGGAGAAGAAAGAGAAGGTGGAGGAGAAGGCCAGCCGGAAAGAGAGGAAGAAAGAAGTGGTGGAGGTGGGGAAGGGTCAGGAGGCTACACCTTCCCACTATCCTCCCTCTCAATTAATTTCATCTTTCCTCTCATGTACTTTTTTTGGAGGTGGGGGTGCTTCTAGCCTTACTGTTCCACCCTGAGTTCCTTCCAAGTTCTTCTCTCACCCACTACCCCATTCCTGGTGTGGTGCCATAGGATAAGCACTGAACTGCTAACCACAGATCAATGGTTCAAACCCACTAGCTGCTCCTTGGAAACCCTATACAGGATCGACTTGGCACTTAACAACAATAACACCCTATTCCTTGGCCCTATTGGTGGTGGGAGGAAGCACATGGCCAACCTGACTGCTTCCTCTCTTGGCTCCCACAGGAAGAAGAGAATGGAGCTGAGGAGGAAGAAGAAGAAACCGCTGAGGATGGAGAAGAGGAGGATGAAGGAGAAGAAGAAGGTGGGGAAGGGCAGAGAAGGTTGGCTGGGTGAGGTGTAGGGCTCAAAGGAGCAGTCAGAGTGGGTTTGAAGACCTGAAGCAGGGCTGAGGGTGACCTCAGGGGGTCTTGGCCAGAACTTCCTGCCCTTCCCCAATGACCCATTTCTGGCTCCTCAGATGAGGAAGAAGAAGAGGAGGATGACGAAGGGCCCGCGCTGAAGAGAGCTGCTGAAGAGGAGGTTTGGGCTGGGTTGTGGGGCCTGAGGGGCTATCGGATTCAGCAGGGGCTGGGACTCCTTTGGATTTGGACCCAGATCCCTGTGGTGGCCTGGGTGGAGGCTGGAGCAGGGCTGGAGCAGGGGAAGGTCCCCTCCCATTTTACAGCTACCTCAATTTTTTCGTTCTCTGCAGGATGAAGCAGATCCCAAGCGGCAGAAGACAGAAAATGGGGCATCGGCATGAGCCCCCTGCCAATGGGCTGGGGGTTGGAGGCCCCTTGGGCCTGGAGGTGGGAGTGGGAATGGACAAGTATAGCCACTCTTTACCTGGCTCCCTGCTCTGGGGTCCCCCCCACACCAGAGCTGCCACCTTCTTCCTCCCCAGCCTTCTCATTTTCACCTCTCCAGACACCGCCCCATTCATCCTCACTCTGCCATTATTCCACCTTCTGACCTGCTCCATCTGAGCGCCCCAGCTGGTCCCCAATCCTTCCTCTCAGTCTCCTTAATCTCTTTCTTCTTCCCCCCCAGCCAATCCCACCCTCCTCTGGTAGCCTCTCCTACCCAACCTCTGCATTCCCCAGTCTCAGTTCCTATCCCATTTCTATCCTGCCTGATCCCTGGATCTCCCTCAGATCCCCTTTCTCTCAGACAGCGCCAGGCCGGGGTGGGGCAGTGGTGTTGGGGTTGGGGCCAAGCCCCACAGCTGCCCCCCTTCTTCTCCCCTTTTTGTATAATTTAATAAAGAAATGGTCGCGCTTCTGTTTTTAACCTGTCTCCTACTTTCCAGGGGCCCAGTCAATGCAATGAGCCAGGGGTGGGAGGGGGATTTGGAAGGGAGGGTGGCTGACCACACATCCTGTCAGGACCCTTTTCCATTTACAAAATAGTAGGAGTGTACTCCTAAAAGAGCTCTGGTAGCTTAATGGTTATGAGTCGGACTGCTACCCTCAAGGTCAGCAGTTCCACAGGAGAATGATGAGGCGTTCTGCTCCTGTATAGCTTTATAGCCTCAGAAACCCTGTGCCGGGTTGCTGAGTCGGAACTGACAGCATGGCACATAACCACCACCACCACCAGTGTACTCCCACACTCAGGACTCCATAAGAAGAGGTCAGCACTCGGGCTGTCAGGAAGCATAGAGCACAGCTTCTTTTGAGCCCATTTCTGCCTTGTTTTATTTGGATTCTTGGGGATGCTCCTTACCAGCAATACACTCATTTCCTTGCTAACCCACACAACATCTAGACACTGCTGAGCCCAGTGGAAAGCTACCAGTGCTATTGTGCTGAACCAGGCAGACAGAAACAGTCTGAGGAACAGGAAGTCCTGTCACTGAAATGGGAGAGGGGTTTAGGTGTGGGTCTCAGAGCTGTCCTGTGCTGGCCATGCATTGCTGCTGCATGTTGTCTGAGTACTGTTGTACCACAGCCCTCTAGTTGTCCCTGCTGTCCAGGAGCAGGAGTTCCCCTCTATGTTAATATCTGACTTCCTTCATTGGTTCTTCTGCTTGCTCTTACACAGTGTTTGTGCATTTCTCTATCTCCCTAACAACCTTTCCCTTTCCTATTAAGAACCTCTGGATTGGAGGAAGTTGTTCTTAACATTCAGGAGTCTGACCTTGAGGATGTGTGGAAGTCACTGACAACACCATTCTTCCCAGACATGGATACCCACAACTCACCTAAGCTCAACACTATGCAGTTTTTGTCTTCACACTCCATCTGACTAGCAGATTGATCTTTGAGCTTCAGTTTCCTCATCAGTGCACTAGGGGATAATATTACATTCCATGAGTATATGTAAAGTGTCCAATACCATACGTAGGGCATAGGGAGAGCTCAGTATAAGCTATTTTTCCCAAAATTGAGATGACCTTCCCCAGACCTAGCTTGTTTTGGAGTACAAGGAAAGCTTTCTATACACCTGGGGTGTGGAGGCTAGTTCGCACTACAATGAAGTTCTGAGAGGTTAAAGGAAAGGGAGGGGAGAAGATTTACAAGAAGAAAATGTCAATGTTGGGTTTAGAAGGCAAATGGGTTATTCAGGGCAGAAATGGTTTGGCTAGAGGGCAGAAAATTTCTGGGAAAGGGAACACTTAAGTGGGTGGGGGAGGGGTGAAGGGGGGGACGATGGGAAGACCCAGGACAGAGGAAGTAAACAAGGGGAGAGCCACCACTGAGGTGGAGGGTGATGCTGCTGGGAATCAACCCCCTCAGACTTTCCACTGCGAAATGAAACCATGAGCTCTGGGGTGTGTGTGGGGGGGGAGGGGGGCAACGGGGAGGGGAAGTGGGGAAGGTGGAGGGCGATAGGAGCTTCACACTGGCATCCCAGTTCACACAGCCAACTTGCCTCTACTCCGCTTTTGCTGCCCTACCCTGTTCGCTGAGACACCCCCCACCAAGGCTGCCTGGTCTAGCCAGCTTTCCGGGGATTCCAGCTTCTGATGGTTGGTTGCTCCTTTCTCCAGGCCCTGTTTCCGTCTCCTTTCCTATAGATTCCCTTCCTTCACATGTCTCTTTGTAGAACCCCTTTTTTGCCCCTCCTTCCACTTTCCTGACCTCCCTTCTAGATTCCTTCCTAAACCCCCCTCTTTGTGAAATCCTTCTTTTGCTCCCCCATCTCCCCTCACCCCACACTCTCTTGATCTTCCTTTGGAGGGCTTAGTGTGGCCTGAGCCATAGGGGAGATGTGGGAAGCAGAGTTCCTGGTCTTGCTGCTTCTGCAACTGCTGTGGGTGGCTCCAGGTAAGGTGTTGATGGTGGGAGGGGGCCCTACAGATTCTGAAGTCCTTAGTTCTTGTGCTGGATTCCTCTAACATCTTTCTTGGGGCAGTCCTTTTAGTGCCAAAGCCTCTCTGGGGTCTTCCCGTTACCAAGAAAGATGCAGAAACTGAGCTCTTCCTAGGTAGACCTTTCTCCCTCCCTCAGAACCACTGGCGCTCTTACTTCGCTTCTAAGTATCCTGGCTCATTGCTTCTCCCCTTGGCCTCTCTTTTCCTCCCAGTGGAGGCTTCAGGGCCGGGGACAAAGGTCCAGGTGCTGTGGGCCCAGGAAGGGGCTCCAGTCCAGCTTCCCTGCATCCCCAAAATCCCTCTGGAGGATCTTAGCCTTCTTCGAAATGCAGCGGTCACTTGGCAACATCAACCAGACAGGTATGCATCCCAAACCTGGGCAATGTTTGTTAAGTGCAGTTGAGTCTTTCAAACGCATAGCGACTTTGTATCAGTTTCCGAGGAGCAGCTGGTGAGTTTGAACCACTGACCTTGCGGTTCAAACCGACTTTGCGGGGCCAGTGCCTATCCTACAGCACCTCCCAAATCAAGCTGTAATAGCAGCCAGAAGCACAGCCCAACACTCAGCCTTGGCCCTATGAGAGCTTGCTATCTGCTCTCTGTCCGCTCCCCTGAGCTCCCAGTCCCCTTAAGTCTCAGCCTCACTTGCCACCAAGCACCTGTCCTGCCTTTCTTAGGAGACTGACCTCCTCACACCTGCATCTCATAGTATGCTTGCTTCTCCAGCAGTGGAGGATGCAGGCCCAGCGGGGGGCTGGGGGGGGCTGAAGAGGAAGAAGACTAAGGAAGGGCAGGCTGCTAGTGGTCAAGAGACCTTTAGGGGCAGGCTTCCTAGTCCTCAAACTGAGGCTGGACTGCTCTGCTCCAGGGTGGTGTGTATGTGTGGGGATAGAGGTTGGGGGTAATTTACCTCCTGGACTTTTTCAATGCTGTCTTTCTCTTTCCCGCCCAGCGGTCCGCCAGGCCCAGCCCTCAGCCGCCCCCCGGCCTTCCTCCTGCGTCCCCGGATGCCCTATCCCCCAGGGCCCGCACCCCGCCGCTACACGGTGCTGAGTGTGGACCCGGGTGGTCTTCGCAGTGGGAGGCAGCCGCTGCAGCCCCGCGTGCAGCTGGTGGAACGAGACCTCCAACGCGGGGTCTTCTCCCTGTGGCTGCGCCCAGCCCAGCGTACCGACGCCGGCGAGTACAGCGCCACCGTGCGCCTCAAAGACCGCGCCCTTGCCTGCCGCCTCCGTCTGCGTGTGGGTCAGGCCTCGAGTAGGTGGGGGCGGGACGACGGGCTAGGGACTGAAAGGAGGGGCCCTCATTCCCCAACGTCCCAGAGACAGGAAGAGATAGAGGAGGCTGTGCTTCTAAGGATGAGCCCTTGGCACTGCCAGAGAACCTCCCGAGGAGGGGTAGAGAACGGTGTGGGGGGCCAGATTGTGAAATGGAAGGTGCCCCCAGAGAAAGACTTGTGTGTGTGTTGGGGGGGGGCGGTCAATGGAGAAATTGTATCACTCTTGCAACTTCCCCTACTCCACCAACAGTGAAAGTGCTAGAATACCTTGGTGGGGTGGGAAGGTACCAAGCAAGGACTCCCCCTCTTCTAGGGTTAGAGGTGTGGGAAGATAGCAGGGCTAGAGTGATTCATTTCACACATCTGTAGCTCGAGGGGTGGGTTTAGTGGGGATCCTCAGGCATAACATGAAGAAAGAAAGGTAGAAGATGCCAAGTAAATTCGAGGCAGGTGGTGGAGGAAAGTGAGCATCCATTTTAGGCACTTTCAAGTGCCAGCTCTGGGCTGGGACCTGGACGAAGGAGGGAAGGAAAAATGAATCTAAATAGTGGTCCCAGTTTCCAGAAGTTTCCATGTTAGTTGGCCCCCTGAGTTGAGCAAGTGTTTCCGGGTGGGGCTGACCCAGTCTTCTTTAACCTTTTAACAGTGATTTCCAGGCCCCCAGGACCTCTCAGGACCTTGGAGTCGGTCATTTTGAAATGTGCCTTCAGCCGCCCTGACCTGCCAGTTTCTGTGCACTGGTTCCGGGGCCAGGCTCAGGTCCCTGTCCAGATGTCCTTCCAGCACCACTTTGACGGAAGCTTACTCTTCCTGCCTCAAGTCAGCCCCTCAGATTCTGGGCTATGGAGCTGCATCCTCACCTACAGAGATGGCTTCAATGTCTCCATCATGTACAACTTAACCGTTCTGGGTAACTCCTCCAATCTACTTTCAAACTTGACCACAACCCCTTCCTGCCCCCCCCCCACCTCCCTAGACTTACTGGCCCCCTCAACTAAGACCTCAGCAGTTCCTGTCATCTGTGATTGTTCTGAGACCACTGTCTAACCCCTTTATTAGGTGGCAGCTTTTCAGCTGTCTTCTCCCCTCCTAGCTTCTCCCTTGGCCATCAACTCACTTGCCAGCCTTTGGTCTCCTGAGGCCCAGCCCACGTTCTAGATTTCTACTTTATTTTGCTCCTTAGTTCTTTAGATATTATACTCGTACTGTACCTCCTCTGCTCTTCTATCTTCCTTCTCTGCAGATCCAGTACTCCAATCCCATACAGCTCCTCCTATCAGCTTTAACTTTGCATTCCTTTCTCTCTCCAGGTCTGGAGCCAGCAGCCCCACTGACCATATATGCTGGAGCAGGTTCCAGGGTGGAGCTGCCCTGCCACCTGCCTCTTGTTATGGGTGCACACACTTTACTCACTGCCAGGTGGTCCCCTCCTGGGGGAGGCCCTGACCTCCAGGTGGTTGGAGACAATGGCAATTTTACCCTTTGGCTAGAGGCTATAAGCCAGGCCCAGGCTGGGACCTACACCTGCTACATCCATCTGCAGGGGCAGCAGCTCCATGCCACTGTCACTTTGGCAGTCATCACAGGTTAGCCCTAAGTGGGGAAGGGGCAGCCTCCATCCCAGGAGAGCTAGGACAGGGAGGGAGGGCTGGTTGGGCAAAGATTGGGTAAATACATAGCCATGATGCCAGGCCCTGGGCACAAACTCCAGAGGCTGTCCAATGTGGCCTCCTCTTTCCTCACCCCCTTTGTAAAGAACTGAAACTGAAAATCTCCCCTTGAGTCACAAGATAAACGTTCCACTGTTCTCTAAGGGACTCCCCTGCCCTGAATTGGTGGGAGGGTATGAGCAGTTGGAAGAAGAGATGGCAGCAGTTTGAGTGATTTCCATAATCCTTGCCCATTTTGGGGCCAGGGTTAAAATTGCAGGACGTTGCTTGGATTGGGGAGGAGTTGATAAATCAGTCTCTTGGTTAGCAAATATTTACTGAGCAAAGGCCTTTCAAGACAGTATAAAACAAACAGAAAAAGAGAAAATATGTATTGATTGATTGGTAACTATTAGCCACAATAGCTTGACTATGTCTGCAGTCTTTACCTGTGGTCATTAAATAGCATAGAGTAGGTATTTAACAATTTGTATTGGTTGAATGAATAAATGAATAAGCTAACAAATAATACATCTCCTGAGGGCTAATACTGCATTTCTATCTGCTTCCTGGATCTCTCTAGATATTGTACCCACATAGCAGTCTTATGCTGAACGCCATCTCTTGTTGACTTAAGCAGTTTTGTCAGTGACTCCACTTAAAACCTGGCCTTCTTCTCTCTCCACATGCAGTCAGTCACCAAAGCACACCCATTCTTCCTATTCAGTGTCTTTCTTCTTGAGGGCCAACTGCTTCATGGAGTTTTCCATGGTAGTTCTGCAATAATTCGATCAGAGAGTCTTATTATGTCTGTTTCATAGAGAGAAGCTTTTCCAAAGTCACACATTTGGAAGTTCCAAAGTCAGAGTCAAAACTCTTGAGTGTTTTGTGTCATCAAATCGTCATCATCCATGCTCAGATTAAGGTCCTTCACCATTTGTCTCCTTCTTATGGGTTAGTCGATGGGTTGTTAGTTTAAAGGGCCACCAGCTGCTCTTCAGACAATAAAAGAGGCTGTCTGTTTCCCATAAAGGTTTAGTCTTGGAAACATTGTGGAGCTGTTCTGTTCTGTCCTAGAGGTTTACTCCAAGTTGGCTTTAACTCAACAGCAGTGGATTTGGGTTTAGTTTTTTATCTGCCCTATAAGGTCCTTGGGTGTGCAAGTGATTTGCACTTGGTTACTAACCTAAGGAGTCCTGGTGTGGCACTGTGGGTTAATGTACTGGACTGCAAAGTCTTCTTAACCACAAGGTTGGCAGTTCAAGCTCACCAGTCGCTTCACTATGGATCGGAACTGACTCACCGGGCACTTAACACGAACTAACCTAAAGCTTAGAGGTTCAAACCTTCTTAGTGGTATCATATGATCTGCTTCCAAAGGGTCACAGCCTTGGGAATGTTATGGAGCAAGCAGTTCTACTCTGTTTCATATTGCCATGAGTCAGGATTGACTAGATCAAAAATGATTTGGTTTTTCGTTTTTACCCACCTTTTGAGAATCCTTGAGTGATGCAAATGGTTAGGTGTTCAACTACTAACCAAAAGATTGGTAGTTTGAATCTATCCTGATGCACCTTGGAAAAAAGACCTGGCAAATTGCTTCTGAAAGGTCACAGCTTCCAAATCCCTATGGAGCGTAGTTCCACATGGGGTCACTATGAGTTGGATCAACTGGGCAGCAGTTGGTTTGGGTTTGATCCACCCTATTTTACTATACAACTTTGATAAGTCTGTCTCTAAATTGCTGGTCAGATCACTAAACATTCTGAAAAGGTGATAGAGAACATCAAGGCAGGGGACACTGATGTGAGCTGCATCATAAAGCAGGAAACCTATGAGGTGTATATTGGGGGCTAACTCACTTGACTGATGTTAAGGCTTCTGAGCTAAGCGGAAAGTAATGCAAAAAAAATCTGGAGTAATTATCATGTCCTTCAGGGCCAGTTTGAGTTTGAGCAATGGAATTCTGAAGGCAATAGAGCTCCTGGGAAGGTTTTGCCCTGACAAAAGCATTGTCTTGTTAAGATTTAGTCATGACCTGTGATTTGTTTGCCCAATCAGAATCCAGATGAATGCAGGGTAATAGAGTGGACCTGAAGTGTCAAAGAAGAAGGTTGGACCTCAAAAGATTTCTTCCCTCTAATTTTTTCAGTAACTCCTAAATCCTTTGGGTTACCTGGCTCCTCAGAGAAGCTGCTTTGTGAGGTGACTCCCACGTCTGGACAAGAGCTTTTTGTGTGGAGACCCCTGAACAACCAGTCTTGGCGGAGCTCCCCAGGGCCCTGGCTGGAGATGCAGGAGGCCAAACTCCTTTCCCAACCCTGGCAGTGCCAGCTGTACCAAGGGAAGAAACTTCTTGGATCAGTGTTATACTTCACAGAGCTGTATGGCCCAGGTCTGAGACCCCAAAATACCACACCCCAACTCCAGACTGATTATCTTAATCCCCCATCCAAGGTCTATCCCATTGTCTTAGTTCTTTTCTTTCCAACTTGGGATCCAGTTCTCTACCTTCTTGTCTGGGCCTGACCCACTTCTGCCACTAATTAGCTGAGTGACCCTGGGTAAGTCCTTTAAACTCTCCAAGCTGCATGGTCATCATCTGTAAAAATATGAAAAAGTAGCAAGATGTCCCTCTCAGCCCTGACCTTGTGCCTATTCTTGTATTTTCTCCATAGGTGCCTGGCACTCTGGGGGAATCTCAGGTACCACCAGAACAGGCGGATTCTCTCTCCTTTTCATCCTGAGTATCTTCTTGCTGCTTCTCATTGTGACTGGAGCCTTTGGCTTCCACCTTAGGAGAAGACTGGTGAGCCAGGGACTCTTCCCCAACGCTGAGAAAAATGCCCAAGGTGGATCCCTGAATTTGCCTCTGCTCTCCAGGGGCCCCTGTGCCTAGAGAGGCATGAAAGGACTGAGAACAGGCCTGGGATCAATGAAGAGGCTCAGTGGCCAGGAAAGGGGAATAGATGCACTCAGGATCCTTCCTATTTGCTTTTCCTTCATCCTTCTCCTCCCACCCACTCTCTTTCTTGATTTCTTCCCACAGTGGCGACCAAGAAGATTTTCTGCTCTAGAGAACGGGCTTCACCTTCCCCAGGCTCAGAGCAAAACAGAGGAGCTGGAGCAAGAACTGGAGATGGAACCAGAGCAAGAACTAGAGCTAGAACCGGAGCAAGAACTGGAGCTGGAGCCAGAGCCAGAGCAACCCTGATCTAGAGCTGAAGCAGATGCCAATCTCAGCAGCTCAGTCTTTGTCCTGCCTCCACCTTAGCCTTCAAATAAACTCCCTGTCAGCAGCAAGTCTTGAGTCTGACTCCTTCTTGTCCAGTGAAGATTTCTGTCTCTCCCCCGCCTCTGGGGGCTCTCTTCTCCCACCCCAGCCTCCTGACCCACTTTCCCCAGCCGATCTGTCTCGTTTTCCTATTCCTATATTCCTCTTTTCAATTCCTGGCCTCTGTGTTTCTTCCTTGGTCTCTCTCTTCCTCTATTTCTCTCACCTGGGTAGTAATTTTTTTAAACTAAAAAAAAAAAAAGCCCTCACCCCTTCTTACCTCTACAGCCCTCCTCTCCTCTGTCCTTCCACCCATATTGTGCTGGTTGCCCTGGTTTCCTTGATATTTTTGTCTCTCTGCCCCACCCCGCCCCACACTCAGCTGCACTGGCTTTTGTCCTTGGCCCCCTAGCTGCAGCGCACGCGCACGCACAGGCATGCGCGCGCTTGTACACACACACACACACACACACACACACACACACACACACACGAGCTCCTAGGTCAGAGAGGAGCCAGGCTGCCATGTGAAGTCCTCAGGGGATCAGGTCTTGCAACCTTTCTGGGTTCCTGCCGATCTCTGCCCCACCCCCACATTCCCAAGCCCTTGGCGACTTGTCTGGTGCCAGCAATGAGAACACACTGCCACCCAGTGGTCACTGATAGTCACATACCACTGGAGGTCACTGGGCTGGCAGGTCAAAGGAAACTGAACACTGCAGTGGACTTGGGTGGAGCACACACTGGTGTGTGCAGATGCTGGCATTATGGCGTGCCCCCTCAATGTCCAGCTCATGAGTGTTCACCCAGCAACTGTCACATGGCCTGTGCACCCTCTGACAGAGAGACTGAACAATGCGTGCCTCAGGAGATACAGCCCAGGCCCTGGCAAGGTTATAATCCAAGTCTGACAAAGGCGAATGCTGTGAACAAAGGCCACATGCCTTGGGGAAGAAACATCCAGAAGGAGAGCTGGCTGTTGCTGCAGCTTTGGATATCAGAAAACATAGCTTCTCATACTGGTGCTGGTCTTCCTGATGTGACCCTGGCCAACCTCCTTGAGCCTATTTAGCTGTCATATGGAATAATGATAATAACCCACCAAAATGGGTTGTTGTGAATTATCTAGGTGATAAAAGGGCTTTGAAAATTGTGAAGTGGTCCATATACAGGCTTATCTGATTACACACAAGTGAAGAAGGGAGGCAAATACAGAAAGTCAATGAGCCTGGCCTTGCCCTCATCTGTCTGTCTTTGTCTGGGAGAGAACATTTGTGCTGGCCATGTAGACTGTCCTTTCAACAGAGAACACACACAGCCTTAATCCCACACCAGCCCCATAGTCTGGCATGGGGACCTTGACCTTAGCCAGGACTTTGGCTGCAGATAGCTCTTTCAGGGAACTTAACCCTGTATAGTGGAGTCCTGGTGTGGCGCTGTGGGTTAATGCACCAGACTGCAAAGCCGTTTGAACTGCAAGGTTGGTGGTTCAAGCTCACCAGCTGCTCCTCAGAAACCCTATACAGGGTCGCTATGGGTCGGAACCAACTCGATGGCACTTAACAACAACAACAAACCCTGTACAGTAGGAAACAAATATTGAAAGAGAGTGAGAGCAAACTTACAGGAGACTTACATGTGATGTGGCAGATGCTCTATCAGGTGTTGCTGTGAGCTGAGCGGGGTGCTGAAGACCTAACCTGTGGAGAAACAATGGCCAGAAATTTGGGAATTGAAATTGGAGTAAGGGACCTTTTTGTTCTGTGCAGAGCCTTAGGGAGATAGGGGGCACCCTCTGAAGCCACATAATGAGCTATTTCAGGCAATCTGAGGCTCTGAGCTTTCAGAAGGTGGTTTCCCTGGCAGAGGCACAGAAGGGAGGAGGCTGTGGTACTCACCAGAGAGGACCACACTATGAGGTGAAGGTCTGATATCCCCGTTAGAAACCTTCAAAGTAACATTTTTACCCTTTGTGGTTGGCTGGGCAGGGTAAGTGCTGAGGGTCTTTTCAGCTCTGCCCTAACACTCCAGTCTCCACAGCCTTAGTAGAAGCCTTCATACCTTAATGGGGCAGGTGCCTCCTGAAAAGTTCTGTGGGTGGTATTTTCCTTTTACTAGATAACATCCTATGTTCGTTGGGTTTATGAAATAGTCATTGAAGATTCATTGAGGTACAGGCAGGGGCTTCCCTGTGCTCCTGCAAGCAGGCGTAGAGGTAGAGTGAAGGTTCACCCCCTAGAGAAGAGAAGAACAAAGGGAAGAGAGAAGAGAAGCTGTAGGAGCTTGTGCACACTGTACGTCTTTGGTTAACTTTTACTCTCTTCTCTGTGGAGTCTTTCCTAACACATGAGACATTTCTGCCCCTCACCCACAAAGCACCGTTGTTGTTGTTTTTCTTAAATGTTTTATTGTGAATTATGTGATAGTTTACATGGGAGAACATTAGTTTTACATTCATTTTATCTTATATCTTCTCATTGCCATGGTTACAATCCCCTCCATGCATCATCAACCAACCAAAGGGTATACCCTGCCATCCTTCCCCCCATACCTCCCAGGTCTTCAGCACACAGTCACTCTCCCTCTCTGGATCTAAAGTCTCCAGCTGCTCCATCGCTCCACATCATCATCTCTG